CAATAACACAGAAGAATTAAGCAAACAAAGTAAGTGCAGTAAAATTAATATACAATTAAATAACACAATTAACTTTTTTAAAACAAGTCATAATTTACCCACTGCTGTAATAATAATGTAATGCATTTATAGTATTAAATACACAATCAGTTTAGTCCTTCTTCTTTTTGAAGGTTGCTGTTCTCTCGTTTATCTTTCTTTTGCGTTGTCCGATTTTCTTGCCCAATGCTCTCGGCTTTATGACATTCATTCTGCCATCTGTGGATGTAATAACGCGCTTATCTGGAGGAATGTAGCTCTTGAATCTCTTGGTCAATCTTTCTCTTTCTTGTACGGTTTTATTTACCCATGAAGTTGCTGTTAATTCGAAATGTTTATGCAAATCAGCCACACAGTACTGGCCCCTGGATACCAAAGCACGCTACAAGTCCTTGAATTGTGTTTCCACGGTTTCCTCAATAATCACCATCAAGTCCAGTAACGGTTTTGATTGCCAGTTTATGGCTGATTTCAGTACATGGTTCAGTGATTCGCTGTTGTTGTTGGTCCAGCCGTTGTCAAAGTAACCTGGTGGTGTCGTTCCCTCCCATAAATCACGAATTGTACGTGCTACACGAGTAGCGAAATATCGGTGGAATGAAGCTGACAGTTCCTTAATTTGTCCGGTCCTCGATCTGTTCACACTTCACATCAAAACAAATGTCGTCATCGGAATGTACTAGTCCTTGATCACCGAAGATGCTGTCTAGTACGGACTCTCTATCTTTTTTGTCGATTCCATCGTCTATCATTTTCTGTTTAATATTACATACATATGAATCATGTCAGCGTATGTACCAACACATCCAACATCATGAGCTAGTTGTAAATATGCAGCAACTACTATTCTGTTATCTTGGACTAGGTCAACAAACCTTGTATGATCACAATCATAGAACATAGGGAAGCTAAGTATATCCGATAGGGTATACACTCTAAGTAGTAAATGGTAAATCTCTGTGCCGGTTAACGCGCGCGAAACTGCCCTATAAAAACAAATACCATCACCGGGTGTCTTAGCGGGATACAGCTCTTCTAAAACAACTGGATGGTACCTACGGAGAATGCCAGTTGTTACTTCATCTCTTACGCTTGGGACTGAGCCTGGATTAATAGGATCGGGCATGACCTGACCGTATGTTTATAGAAGTAGACTGTCTGATTTTGTAATAGGTTTCACTTCTCTGGGCCTACTCCCGATTACACCACTCAATCTACAAAAGAGATTGCTTTGTTGATGAGTTAAGTTTTTTTTTTAATGTTAATTTTAAATAGAAAGGAAAATGAAATAAGAAATAAGTTAAATATAATCGAATTAGTGAAATTAATATCTTTATTAAAATTAAATATACCTTCTAATAAAAATTATGTTAAAAATATACTTTATAAAATTACTTACCTTTCTATGGCCTTGGCCATGTCGTACTTGTTGTCTGTAAAACAGCAGTCCTTACATAGGAACTTTAGAGACACATCTGACCAGGCCGATAACATTGAATCATTCATTGGGACACAAGCACTGTGAACCCAACGATCACAACTACTGCACTGAATTGTGCAATCAACACATTCTTTATCACATTTTTCAAGGATATAAAGCCATTTCAAAAATGGAAGACAGCACATATGTCTTCACAGGTTTTTATACCAAATTTTAGTTACTTGTAAAAACATTTATATTTGCCAATGAAAATCTTTAATTTCTTTTTGAGAAAATGTTATTACAACACACATACGAATCATCCATTCAGCTGCTTTGTTTTTATTATAAAAGAATCAAGTATAATCAATTTTTTTATTATATTTAAGTTAAATATGTGAAAATTCTTAATTACGTTTCATTCAATATTGAGTAAATCGTTAAGAAAACTAATAGATGATTGGAGTAATTGCATGGCTTTGGTGTACTTGTTAACTTTTCAAAACCTTACTGAAAAACAATTATTAGACAAAACTTTGTATATACAGTACATTATTTAATACTTTATTTTCATAACATTTCCCTTTGAATGCATATGCAATCATTCTTTTATTCTTCCCATTGTGTTTTCCTTGGTCGCCATGTTGGATGTACACACTAATATTTATAATGATCTTTATGAACTTACCTGCTTTCTGTAAATCATTTTTAAGTGATAAAATACACTTATAATATAATTTTATTTAATAATCTATGTTTAAATGTCACCAATATGTGCTAATATTATAATTTCAAGTGTTATTCGGTCATTACAAGTGTTATTTGGATAATAACGGTGTTATTTGGTCATTCGAGGTACCGTTTTTTATGTTGTGTATTTTCTGAGTCAACTTTTTACCCCTGTATGTATGAAGAGTAGGTATCGGAATCCTGAGTCTCTGATCCTTCATATTTGGCTTTGTAGAACTTAACACTAGCAAGTTTTCATAGTTTATTAATAAATTACAATTTAGCAAATATCAACAATTTTGTAAAGATAAAAGTATTCAAATGTAAATAAGTTAAAATTCACATAAAAGTGACAAAATATGGTGAGGTCTGTGCAAGACCAGCAAGACTGAAGATAGTGGACATTTTGTTCTATATAAAACAATGTCATCTTTCAGTAAGTGGTGAGGTCTGTGCAAGACCAGCAAGCTTTCTATATTAAAAGCTCAAGCATTTACAGTGTAGACTGTTTAAAAACAGTGTTGGGTTGACGTACAGACGGACAAGGGTAAAACTTAATGCCCCCTCCGCTACGGCGGGGGCATTAAAAGTCAGGATAAACTAATTAAAAAAGGCAGGACAACATTTTTTATCCAGCACCCCCCAAAAAAATCAAATGGTAGCTCCCTAAACGGAGTTTTCTATGTAAATGGATGTTCCGTTCATATTTTGTCTCATGAAATAGCACCCCATTTGCTCAATCGTTTACCTTACTGGTAGAGAGGGTTAAGGCCTGTGCTTTCGCTCCAGGTCTTCGGACAGCATACTGACAATAACAAGAACCAACAAATACAAGAAACGACAGGTATCAGAAACCTAGAAATGAAAAGAGGTGACGATTGCGCCAAGCAATGCATTCGCTCATATAACAAATAACCAAGACTCATAAAACAGTTTCATTATTCAATGGACAAAGACAATAATACTCAACATCGCGGTATTTCCATATGAATATGAATATGTTTTAAAGTGTTTAGAGCTAGCACATTAAGCATGTCCTGCATGTTCTTGCATTTATTTGCACTGTAGTTCTGTCATGTAATGTTGTCTTTTTAGCATGTGTTTAGTGTAACTGATATATTTAACATTGCCATAAAAGCGCGAGGTTTGGCTAGCCACAAATCTAGTTTCAACCCACCATTTTTTTCTTAAAAAGTCCTGTACCAAGTCAGTTGTTATCTTATAGTTCGTTTCTATGTGTTGCACTGTCGTCTGGTTTTTTGTTGCACTTCAGTGTTTCTGTTGTTTCGTTGTTTTCCTCTTATAGTTGATGTGTTTCCCTCGGTTTTAGTTTGTAACCAGGATTTGTTTTCTCTCAATCGATTTATGTCTTTCGAACAGCGGTTTACTACCTTTGCCTTTATTTAAGATACAAAATAAGTGGATCTGTTTTTCTTTTATGTAATTTTTTCTTTTTATAATATTCCAAAATTCTGTTCCTTTCTTTTGGAGAAAGTTTTAAAGTTTTTTTAAAATATATTCTGTTTATATTGTTTCCACTTGAATTTGTAGGCCTTTTTCAATTGTTTATAGTAAAACATAATTTTAATGTTTGGTCAAAGAGAGATATTTTTTTTGTTTTTTGCTTATATTCTGGACAGTCAGACACTTTGTATTAATTCCAGATATTCAGTGTATGTCCATGGTGATTAATTTATCATGCGATCTGTTACCAATGATCATGTGGTCCATATGATATTACATGTTACATTAGTTACCAATTGATCATGTGATCCATGTGATATTACATGTTACATTTTTTACCAATTGATCGTATGATCCATGTGATATTACATGTTATATTAGTTACCTATTGACAGTGGCCTGAGAAAGGTGATGGATCTTGAACTATGACATATTTCACTGAATTAAACATGTTACAACAGAGGACCATATTAGAAATTTCATTAAACATTTTGATCCTAGTTTTATTAAGTTCTGTACATGTTATGATAAACATGGAATCCATTTTCCACCTCTTTATGGCAGAAAGGACACACTCTATTATCTACGGCTGATGTATTGTATCAACCGCGTTCAAAACAGCATACTATTACTTATTCTTATTTTGGCATAATTTTTTGTGACATTTTTATCTAAATTCAATAATTCTCTTCAGAGTATAATTCAGACCAATGCTATTAGAACATACATCACAGACACACATCGGAAAGGTTGATCTTCAGTATGATTTCTCATGTGTACCTTAAGAACCTAATTCTGACAAACCCCTTTAGAACTTACATCACACCGAAAACGTTTATCACAAGTATGTGTTCTCAGGTGTACCTAAAGAGCCTGATTCTGACAAAATATGTTATAACATACATCACATCGAAAAGGTTAATCAACAGTATGTGTTCTCATGTGTACCATAAGAGCCTGATTCTCATAAAAACCTTTTAGAACATTCATCACAATGAAAAGGTTTATCGCCAGTATGTGTTCTCATGTGTACCATAAGAGCCTGATTCTCATAAAACCTTTTAGAACATTCATCACATTGAAAAGGTTTATCACCAGTATGTATTCTCATGTGTCTCTTAAGATTGCGATTCACTCGAAACCCTTTAGATCATACATCACACCGAAAAGGTTTATCATCGGATTTCATCAGGATGTATTCTCATGTGACTCTGAAGAGCGTGATTCTGACCAAACCTTTTAGAACATACATCACATCGAAAAGGTTAATCACCAGTATGTGTTCTCATGTGTGCCTTAAGAGCATGATGCACACGAAATCTTTTAGAACATACATCACATCCAAAAGGTTTATCACCAGTATGTATTCTCATGTGTACCTTAAGAGCCTGATGCACACGAAATCTTTTAGAACATACATCACATCCAAAAGGTTTATCACCAGTATGTATTCTCATGTGAATATTAAGATCGTAATTCAGTCGAAACCCTTTAGAACATACATCACATCGAAAAGGTTTATCACCAGTATGTATTCTCATGTGTACCTTAAGAGCTTCATGCTGACAAAACCTTTTAGAACATACATCACATTGAAAAGGTTTATCACCAGTATGTATTCTCATGTGTATCCTAAGAGCCTGATGCATACGAAATCTTTTAGAACATAAATCACATCCAAAAGGTTTATCACCAGTATGTATTCTCATGTGTACCTTAAGAGCCTGATGCACACGAAATCTTTTAGAACATACATCACATCCAAAAGGTTTATCACCAGTATGTATTCTCATGTGAATATTAAGATCGTAATTCAGTCGAAACCCTTTAGAACATACATCACATCGAAAAGGTTTATCACCAGTATGTATTCTCATGTGAACCTTAAGAGCTTGATTCAGTCGAAAACTTTTAGAACATACATCACATCGAAAAGGTTTATCACCGGTATGTGTTCTCATGTGTAGCTTAAGAGACTGATTCTCATTAAACCTTTTAGAACATACATCACATCGAAAAGGTTTTTCACCAGTATGTATTCTCATGTGACTCTGAAGAGCCTGACTCGTACAAAACCTTTTAGAACATTCATCACATCGAAAACATTTATCACCAGTATGTGTACTCGTGTGTACCTTAAGAGCCTGATTCACACGAAATCTGTTAGAGCATACTTTACATCGAAAAGGTTTATCACCAATATGTGTATTCATGTGTACCTTAAGATGCTGATTCAGACGAAATCTTTTAGAACATATATCACATTGAAAAGATTTATCACCAGTATGTATTCTCATGTGTACCTGAAGATGCTGATTGAGGCGAAATCTTTTAGAACATACATCACATCCAAAAGGTTTTTCAGCAGTATGTTTTCTCATGTGTACATTAAGAGCCTGATTCTGACAAAACCCTTCAGAACATACATCACGTTTAAAAGGTTTGTCACCAGCGTGTATGCTCATGTGTCTTTCTAAGTCAGTACTCTCAAAAAATCTTGTATCACATATACCACATATATAAGGATATATATGTGTCAACAAATGTACCTCTAAACATTTTGAACTAGTAAAGCTTCTATTCATACACACGACACATTCAAATTGCTTTTCCAAAGTATGTGTTCCTGGCTTTTCCAAAGTATGTGTTCCTGAGTTCTTATTCTGTAAGATTTCCTCGTCAAATTTGTCATGTTTATAAGGTTTACTGCAAGTATTTTTTCTGTGTCTCTCTGAGTTATGAGGGGTTTTAAACTCTTTACCACATGTCTTGGATTGTTGAGGTTCATCAAAATCACGACAAGTATGTGTTCTTCTGTGGTTCTGTAAGTCTTTACTATTTTCAAATTCTATGTTGCATACATCACATCGAAAAGGTTTATCACCAGTATGTATTCTCATGTGTACCTTAAGATCGTGATTTAGTCGAAACCCTTTAGAACATACATCACATCGAAAAGGTTGATCTCCAGTATGTATTCTCATGTGTACCTTAAGAGCATGATTCTGACGAAACACTTTATCACATACATCACATTTATAAGATTTAGCTTGTACATTATATTTGTAAAGTTTAATGCCACTATGAGTTTTCATGTGCGCTATTAGATTTGCAGTACTACTACACTCTATACCACAGACAGTACAAACAGTATCAATATTTTCTCCAGATTGGCAGTTCGTCTTTACTTGTGACGTGTGACCACTAGCCTCATCAAAAGAGATAATCGTGTAAGATTTATTTTCATTATCAGAAATTTCATCTGTTTCTGTCCTTTCTTGTTTGTATGGCAATACCTTAATATCTAAAATTTCATCAGTTGAGATGCTCTTGGATCCAGTTTCATCTTCATTATAAGACATTTTATCCATTTCTGTGCTTGCTTGTCCAGTACTGAAGTAAAATCTTGATGGTTGGTATTGAGTCTGATCAGTATAAGCAATTCTAAAAAAATTATGCTGAAATACAAAAATATCATATTTAACAAAGATAACTAAAAATCTACAAAAAAATAGTGCAGAAAATCTATGTCATAAGTCAAACCATTCCTTTAATCTTTCATATGCACAGAATTGCACTAAATTTTAACTATTGCAATTAAAATCATCAAAGATAAAAAAAATTATAAGCCAGACACATATTTGGTCTACAAAAGGATCATCAGTGAAGCTTAAATCAAACTAGAGGCTCCCAAGAGCCTGTGTCGCTCATCTGACTCTACTTTGGTTTTAGAAATCATGTAAAGATAGATAAAAATCATAACAGATACCCAAATAATGATTGAGGCCAAATTTGGTAATATTGGTCCCGTTATTTAATAAAATATCCTGGTGGCCATCTTGAACAGTAAATCGGCAACTAAGTAGCAACACTTGGTCAGCACCTCATAAGGAACATTCATGCCATGTTTGGTTTCATTCCATTCAGTGGTACTCTAAAAGAAGACATTTGTATGCATTTCCCATAGGGTCCTATGATAAACTAAGTCCCCCCTGGCGGCCATCTTGGATGATGGACTGACTGCAAAGTAAAAACACTTGGTCAGCACCTCATTAGGAACATTCATGCCATGTTTGGTTTCATTCCGTTCAGGTGTTCTCTAAAAGAAGACATTTGTATGTATTTCCCATAAGGTCCTATGTTAAACTAAGTCCCCCGCTGGCGGCCATCTTGGATGATGGATCGGTTGCAAAGAACCAACACTTGGTCAACACCTCATAAGGAACATTCATGCCCTTATTGATTCCATTCCATTCAGTGGTTCTCTAAAAGAAGACATTTGTATATATTTCCCATAGGGTCCTAGATGTTAAACTAAGTCCCCCGCGGGCGGCCATCTAGGATGATGGATTGACTGCAAAGTAACAACACTTGGTCAACACCTCATAAGAAACATTCATGCCATGTTTGGTTCCAATCCATTCAGTGATTGTCTAAATGAAGACATTTGTATGTATTTCCCATAGGGTCCTTTGTTAAACTAAGTCCCCCGCTGGCGGCCATCTTGGATGATGGATCAACTGCAAAGTAACAACAATTGGTCAGCACCTCATAAGGAACATTCATGCCATGTTTTATTTCATTCCATTTAGTGGTTCTCTAAAAGAAGACATTTGTATGTATTTCCCATAGGGTTCTATGTTAAACTAAGTCACCCACTGGCGGCCATCTTGGACATGTTGGATGATGGATCGGCTGCAAAGTACCAACACTTGGTCAGCACCTCATAAGGAACATTCATGCCATGTTCGGTTTCATTCCATTCACTGGTTCTCTAAAAGAAGACATTTGTATGTATTTCCCATAGGGTCCTATGTTAAAATTAGTCCCCCGCTGTCGGCCATCTTGGATGATGGACCGACTGCAAAGTAACAACACTTGGTCAGCACCTCATAAGGAACATTCATGCCATGTTTTGTTTCATTCCATTCAGTGGTTCTCTAAAAGAAGACATTTGTATGTATTTCCCATAGGGTCCTATGTTAAACTAAGTCCCCCCTGGCGGCCATCTTGGATGATGGACTGACTGCAAAGTAAAAACACTTGGTCAGCACCTCATTAGGAACATTCATGCCATGTTTGGTTTCATTCCGTTCAGTGGTTCTCTAAAAGAAGACATTTGTATGTATTTCCCATAAGGTCCTATGTTAAACTAAGTCCCCCGCTGGCGGCCATCTTGGATGATGGATCGGTTGCAAAGAACCAACCCTTGGTCAACACCTCATTAGGAACATTCATGCCCTGATTGATTCCATTCCATTCAGTGGTTCTCTCAAAGAGGACATTTGTATGTATTTCCCATAGGGTCCTATGTTAAACTAAGTCCCCCGCTGGCGGCCATCTTGGATGATGGATTGACTGCAAAGTAACAACATTTGGTCAGCACCTCATAAGGAACATTCATGCCATGTTTTATTTCATTCCATTTGGTGGTTCTCTAAAAGAAGACATTTGTATGTATTTCCCATAGGGTCCTATGTTAAACTAAGTCACCCACTGGCGGCCATCTAGGAAATGTTGGATGATGGTTCGGCTGCAAAGTAACAACACTTGGTCAGCACCTCATAAGGAACATTCATGCCATGTTTGGTTTCATTCCATTCACTGGTTCTCTAAAAGAAGACATTTGTATGTATTTCCCATAGGGTCCTATGTTAAACTAAGTCCCCCGCTGTCGGCCATCTTGGATGATGGACCGACTGCAAAGTAACAACACTTGGTCAGCACCTCATAAGGAACATTCATGCCATGTTTTGTTTCATTCCATTCAGTGGTTCTCTAAAAGAAGACATTTGTATGTATTTCCCATAGGGTCCTATGTTTAACTAAGTCCCCCGCTGGCGGCCATCTTGGATGATGGACCGACTGCAAAGTAACAACACTTGGTAAGCACCTTATAAGGAACATTCATGCCATGTTTGGTTCATTCCATTCACTGGTTCTCTAAAAGAAGACATTTGTATGTATTTCCCATAGGGTCCTATGTTAAACTAAGTCCCCCGCTGGCGGCCATGTTGGACATGTTGGATGATGGATCGGCTGCAAAGTAACAACACTTGGTCAGCACCTTATAAGGAATATTCATGCCATGTTTGGTTTCATTCCATTCAGTGGTTCTCTAGAAGAAGTTCAAAATGTAAAAAGTTAACGACGACGACGTCGACGGACGACGGACGCCAAGTGATGAGAAAAGCTCACTTGGCTCTTTGGGCCTGGCGAGCTAAAAAGTTAAAAAGGTCAATCAAAGTCCAAAGTTGAAGGGCAATGATGAATAAAACACAACCATATTACCAAAACATTATGATGAACTTTGATGAATAAAACACAACCATATCACCAAAACATCATGATGAGCCTTGTTGAATAAAACACAACCATATTACCAAAACATCATGATGAAACTTGATGAATAAAACACAACCATATTACCAAAACATCATGAGGAACCTTGATGAATAAAACACAACCATATCACCAAAACATCATGATGTACCTTGATGAATAAAACACAACCATATCACCAAAACATCATGATGAACCCTGACGAATAAAACACAATCATATCACCAAAACAGCATGATGAACCTTGATGAATAAAACACAACCATATCACCAAAACAGCATGATGAACCTTGATGAATAAAACATAACCATATCACCAAAACATCATGATGAACCTTGTCGAATAAAACACAACCATATTACCAAAACATCATGATGAACCTTGATGAATAAAACACAACCATACTACCAAAACATCATGATGAACCTTGACGAATAAAACACAACCATATTACCAAAATATTATGATGAACCTTAATGAATAAAACACAACCATATTACCAAAACATTATGATGAACCTTGATGATTAAACACAACCATATTACCAAAACATTATGATGAACCTTGATGAATAAAACACAACCATATTACCAAAACATTATGATGAACCTTGATGAATAAAACATAACCATATTACCAAAACATTATGATGAACCTTGATGAATAAAACACAACAATATTACCAAAACATTATGATATACCTTGATGAATAAAACACAGCCACATTATCATGATTGCCAAAACATTATGATGAACCTTGATGAATAAAACACAACCATATTACCAAAAGATTATCATGAAACTTGATGAATAAAACATAAGCATATTTCCAAAACATCATGATGAACCTTGATGAGTAAAACACAACCATATTACCAAATTATCATGATGAACCTTAAATTTTGATGAATAAAACACAACCATATTACCAAAACATTATGATGAACCTTGATGAATAAAACACAACCATATTACCTAAACATTATGATGAACCTTGATGAATAAAACACAACCATATTACCAAAACATTATGATGAACCTTGATGAATAAAACACAACCATATTACCAAAACATTATGATGACCCTTGATGAATAAAACACAACCACATTACCAAAATATTATGATGAACCTTGATGGAAAAAACACACCCATATTACCAAAATATCATGAAGATTATGATGAACCTTGACGTAGTGTTTCCCCTATCACACAAAAAAGGCATGGTAATTTAATGGAAAAGGGGCATCTAGAGCGTGCAAACATTTATATAAAGGGCACCTACAGTGAATGGAAAGTTAACAAAAGGGCACCTACAGTATGCTGAAAACAAGAAAGGCAATAAATTGTCATATATTGCATTGGTAAAGTATTGACTGGCAGTTGTTGATGGAATAAGAACTCAAGATAGCAAGTGTATTGTTTCAAAATAATATTGTATTTACATCTTTAAATAAAGATGAAAATCAACATTATTCCGGGTAACAACAAGGGACCAAGGATGAATGTATATTACTAGCTATACATCTTTGTCAGACTTTGAAGGACTAATACATAA